TTGGCGACAACAGCCATTGTCCACTCCCGCATAGAAACAGCAGGCGAGTCGCGGCACCCCGAACACCTCGGCAGTTCCCTCGCAGACCTCTCATACGCGCCATCAGTCGATACACCCACCACTTCCCGACGTTCACAACCACCATCGTCTACACGCAATCTTTCACCACAACGATGGCCGGCTTCGGGTACACAATGGCGCAAGTTGGTAAGGAGAAGAGTAGCAGCTGCGGCCGAAAGTTGAGGTTCGGATGCTGGTCGATACAGCAGCGTCAGCGACTATTATAACCCTGCACTTTTTTGATATGCTTCTCCACAGGGCCCAGCAGTTGAGACCTGTCCAATCATCCTTCATAGCGGCAAATGGGGGAAGCAAGGGAATTTTGCGACAGTTGGAGACCAAAATCTGTGAAGGAGAATCGGTGATATCAGGCCCCGTACTTGTCTCCAGCACATTAACAGTTCCCCATCAAAATAGTTTCAGACCAGCAAAAGTTGTTTATTGACTCAACAAAAGTTTTTAATTTTTTCCTTCATCCCTCCATACTCCCCTGCCGTCAGAGTTACCCTGAATCCCTTGGATTCTCACGGGCTGTGTTGAGTCGAGGACGACGATTTGTTCAAAATGGGGAGGGGGGTGCTGTAGTGTTAATACTTATGCAATCCGGGGGTATAAATGCCCATGAGATGCCAGGTTACTGTGAAAGATGTGTAAAGGAAAGAGAAGGGGGGGGGCATGAGAGAGGGGAAACGCCCAGGAGGCGAGCGGTGCGCTACCTGCTGGGATTTAGAGTGGAGAAGTTGCACGCAGCGCGAGCTCGTGTGGGAAATAAAGAGGAGTTGTGTCATCTCAACCTTCGTCTGGTGGACTCGTTACGTTTCTAAATCTGGAGGTAAAAACCGGAGGACCCCGAGAAATATCCATATGTCATCTCAACCTTCGTCTGGTGGACTCGTTACGTTTCTAAATCTGGAGGTAAAAACCGGAGGACCCCGAGAAATATCCATACTACCACGGGGAGAACATGCAAACTCCAAATATACAGGCATCGTCATGGTCGGGATCCAACCCACGACCTCCTGTATACCAGGCGAGGTAGTTAACATCTTTCCACCGTGGCGCAAAACCTTTGGTCAGATCATGGCGTGGCTCAACCTAAAAGAATGAGTCGTCTTGTAGATGTATCATGCTTCGAGACTTTTACAGAGATGGTCAAGCACTTTTCTCATGAAGAAACAAACAAATATTCCTACACTGCCCTCTGCTTCTCCACCACACAGCACCGCGGTCTAGAACACCTCGAATGAACGACCGCCCATATAAACACCTCTACTCGTGCTTGCGAGGCCTGACAACATTGAGTGCTTTGGCCGTAGACAACGAAAGGACATTGCAGCCCAACACACAAAACGGCGTGGGGCTATTGCTACACACACACGCACACATCCTCTAGCGCACAGATGCCCCTGTCGCCCTACAAAGACGACACGGACTGTAGAGACCGCAGGACCAGGCGCCGTATCAGAATCTTCATGTCGGCTGGAGGAATCCGATGAGCTATGAAGCTCTTCGTCACAGACGTCGTCCGGTATCGTAGACCAGCTGCAGCCACGCGCCGTCGATGCTCACAACCCCACGAGGCCGAGTTGTTCCTCGAGGAGGAGGCCAAGGACGGAGCCGGGTCGCGATCTCCCGGAGTGGCAACTCCACTAAGACCACCACCACCACGCCGCTACATTTCCCAGCGCGCATAGGCGTCGCCTCGAGCGCCGCGCCGCCTGATTGGACGAGACGAGCGGCGCAAAGGTTGCCTCGACCAATCGCGACTCGGGCTCGGCGGGTTCGCGCGACCGGGCCAGCCAATGGGGTGAGGCGATGGGCAGCGGGCGGAGCCTATGCGCTGTGCGGTTTTCAAAGGGGGCTGCCGCCGCCTTTTAACGGAGGCCTGCGCGCTCCCTGAGGTAGTGGCGGCGGCAGCGGCGGCGGCGGCAACGAAGAGGACGAGAAGGAGACTACCCCCTCCTCCTCCCCCCCCACACACTCCTCATCCACACGCGCGCCACGCGCTCTCACCGCGAGGACGGAGACGCGGGGTGGAGGCGCTCGGCTCGCGGGGCCCTGCGAAGCTCCGGGGGCCGCCCGCGCTCGGGTTTCACTGTCCGCGGCCGTGACGTCACGTCCAGCTGACGTCACGCGCGATTCACACAACACGTGACGTCGATAACCACCGACAGTTATACGTTTCTGCCCGTGACGTCATTGCTCTAGCGACGTAGCCACATTCTGCGCGTGACGTTGTTCGTTGAGGCGTGACGTCACTACCACCGACATTCACGTAATTTTACGTGTTGCCTCCGAAACGTCGTGATTTTTATTTTATTTTCATTAATTTTGATGTTTTACCTACGTGACTTTACCGAAAAAAACCTAAGAATATGAATCCTTGCAGTCACGAAAGCTTCAAATCTAGAATTTGCGTAGCAAGTTTGTGCGCGTGACGTCACCGGCGTAACACGTTTCTGCGCATGACGTGACGACACACGTCCAGGAGAATTAACTGAACGCATTAATTATAATTACGAAAATAAACAGTGTGGGCTTAAGTGGACAAAAATAACATGTCAATGGAATCATTGCTCATCAGATAGTTTTTTTTAATGTTAATTCTCACCAGGCCCCATGGACTAAACCAAGTCTCCAACGCGTTATTATCCACTTCTCTCCGGCTTCTACATTTTACGTGCTCTGAACAAGGGTCATTGCCTAAAACGTCGCCTGCTGTGTTCCCTTGTTAAGGCGATTGATTAAGCTCCCCGCGCGTGATTGGCTCCCGCATGCCTCGGACAAGCCCCGCCCCCTGCCTCGCACCCGACGCTCTCATTGGCTACCTGAAAACAATGTGGGCGGAGTCTGCCGCAGCCCACCAATCAGCGTCTTTGTTTACGCTCTGCAGGGCAAGCCCCGCGGTCCCTCGAGTTCCTGACACGTGACGTGACACACTGAAGGGGCCTTTAACTGGAAACAGCTGTCTATAAACTATTTAAACAAGTAGTTTAAGCAAAAACTTTTCAAACAAATAGTTTATAGGCCCACTGAGCTATGTAACTTTTTTTTCAGAAGCGACCTGGCCACACATGTAAGCCCAACGAATTGGCTCATCATGTGGAAATGTTATTGGAGCCAAACGCTCTAAACGGACGTTGATTCTAAGTGGAGGGAAAACCTGGAGGATCCGGAGATAAATCCACTCCACCACGGGAGAGGGAGAGAAAATGAAAACTCCAAATATACAGCAGGCGTCGGGCTCGGGATTGAACTCACGAACTCCGATATAAACGAAACCTTTAATTTTACCAGGTAAGGCCCCACTGAGCTATGAAGCTTTTTTAGAAGCGACCTGGCCATCACAAATGATAGCTCAACGAAGTGGGCTTATCATCGCGTGGACATTTGTAGCAGTGGCCAAATATTCTAAAAACTGAAGTTTCTAAATGTGGAGGGCTAAAACTGGACCCGGAGTAAAATCCACGCGACCACGAGGAGACACCGCAAACTGCAAATACTTCCTCAAATAAAGCTGCACATTTCAGGAATGCATCGACAACGTTGAACGAGGGATTACTCCAACTTTACATCTGACTGCGGGGTCGAGATCGAACCCACGACCTCCTGCATACCAGGCGAGGTAGTCAACATCTCGCCACCGTGGCACCCAACGCATCGCATCTGTCACGCATGGTCATCAATCTAAATGACACCCTCCTACATATTATCACGCGGTTTTTTTCTCTGCGGTAAAGACGTGGACGCCGTTGAACCATCATCCCTCGCCCTTGCACGCAGGCATCCGAATTATTCCAGGAATGCGAGCAGATGGCAACTCATCGCTGTGATATCTGCTGGCAGCTGCACTTATTTCACGCTGGGCGAGGGCACGCTGGCCGTGGTAGCACACACGGGGAGGACAGATCAACACTTCGTGAAGTAATAATTATGGTCAGAGGTAGTAGTGAGATCAACCGACAGTCGCAGTGGCAGATCGACGATGCGATTGGCCATAGTGAATCAGTGCACGAAGACCCATCGACCCGGCACATATCTTTACCCGGAAAGATTAAAAATAATTTAGTTTTATTTTATACCGACATGACTTTACTGAAAGAACCAGAGAGTATAGTTTGATTTGTTTATATTTTTTAAGTGATGTTTACTTTTCCTATACTTTGCACTCCCATCGTATGTTGGTATTGTTTGTTGTTATAACGTTTTGACCCGCCACTACTGAACATGTGAAAAAGAGCTCCATAGCTCATCCTTCAGCATAAATATTCTGATCTCGACACGGCAAGCTACCCTGAGGCAGACGCAGCGTGCACCGGGCAGCTCCAACCCCAATGATACCGACAGGCAGCGTACTTCAATAGGGATTACCGTTGGTACGGCTATTTTAATACAAGCAATAGACAGGAAGGAGAAGATCAAAGGGCTCGCATAATGCACATGCATAATGTACGTTTAATCAGTAATCTCCCCCCCCTATTTTGCGCAAGAGCGCAGAAGAGTGGTCACCACATCTACGCCTCTATATAAGGAACGAAACAGTTAAGACCTCTACAAATCTGGCTGTCGCCTGATGAAGCTGGTTGTAAATACTGGCGAAACAGCGTGCTCAGATTGTAAATGTTGTGCCTTGGCTCTCCAACACACCGGTGTGGTGTACTAGTGACGAATTGGCATGTTCTGTTTACGTGACAAACCTTACGAATTGGCTGTGTCGGGTGGTGGCGGGTTTTAACGACACATTTATATATTTACGCGATCTAACCCAAAAAAAAACCTCTATTATGGATATTGGTCACGAAAGCCTGCATGTTAAATTGGGTCACAATTTTCCACAAGGTCTTCCTTGCTCGGGGGCATTTTGTTCCCTCCCGAGCACTCATCTCGTTCCGAGTCCAGCACAGGACGACTTCTCGTTAAATAAACGCGACCAATTGTGATGTATGACCTATACATGTTTTTATTTTATATTGTTTACATTACAGTTAGCCATCAAATACAGAGATCAGCCACAGATTTTTGGTTAAAATTACCTTAGCTACTTGAAGGCCAAACCCATGACGATAGGCGTACGTGTAATACGCTTTGTCATAGGCATGATATGCACACCCGCACACGCATGTTAACGGGGACATGAGGGAATGTATCACAGGCGTGACACGCTGCTAACACCAACGGTAGTCGTGCCAGGGGTTAGAATATAGGTGGCATAGGATTTAGCAATCATTACAATATCTACTCATTTACATAAATTATATAAGCCAGTATAGAAGAGATGCAAGGAAAAGGTTAAGTAAATGCATACAAGCCAATACGAATTCGTTATCTTACTTTCTGTACATCAAACAGGGATCACAATTATCCAAAGTGCAGATTGCTGTCATACAAAGCCGTTTCTTTACGTTCTTTAATGCCTATCATCTAAATTTGAAAATTGAACTTACAATAATGCAGATGCTACCACATTGAAGAAATCTGAAAGGAATATCTCATACTGACAGAACCACATTGCTCAGAGAACGTTAGGAAACTGAGTCAAGACTTCAGAGAAAGATCCAAGTCCACTCTTGGGTTGTTACTGCTTCTTCTTATCTTCTGGTGGAGTATATGGAGGAGGCTGATCCTGCCATCAGAGACACACAAAACAGTGCACTATTAGTCAGCTTACATAGGCCGAGTTCATCTAGACCACGGGACGGCAACAAAAACAAGCCATTTTTTTTTGTAAAAAGACTCAATAATTCAAGAGCCGCAATACGTGTGAATACGAGACGGTGGTACTTAATAAATAACGTCACGAAGCATTCCTTAAAGAGCCACATGCTGCTCCAGAGCCGCAGGTCGCCGACCCCTGGTCTATATTAAATATAAACACTTGGACCTTGCACTGGGAGTGACGTACAATTACGAACGCACTCACCACGTTTATCACGAACATTGCCTTGCCGCATGTAAAAATAGTTTCCAACCCTTAGTCAATTCCCCTGTTGGATGAAGGCCTCCCCACTTCATGTTGGACATGGAGGTTGTTTAACCACAACTCACCATGTTCTTGAAGGGGACTGGAGGCCTAGGGATGCTTCACAATCCCTCTATTAAATTTAGCCGGGGCACGGAATCGAAGTCGGGTCGTTGGGTACATAGTGCAGTGAGCCAAACGTGACGAAGAATACGGCCCAAGGGGTAGCAGGAGGAGTTTACATGCGGTGAGCGCTCGCAGGAGAAGGGGAGTGTGTGTGTGTGTGCGTGCCGTACCATGGGCATGTAGACCGCGTGGGGATTTGCGGGGTCGAAGTAAGCCGCCTCTGCAGCCTTGCCGGAAGCTGGGATGACAAGCAGTGGGCTTAGTCAATGCACGGGGCGGAGGGGGCGCGGCGTAACAAGGGCATGCACACTTTGTACACGTGTTGTCTGGTTAAAAGAATGATGGCTCGCACAGCGGTGGAAGGTTATCATAACGGTGTGACGCAAGGAGCACGCCGATCGGTAGAGACACGTTTGCAGTGAGCATCATCGTTTAACAGAAATATTCACGCTCAGTGCAAGCCTCTCCTCCAGAAAAATGTGAGGAACAATGACACTTCTGCTGCTGATAAGACACATGCTTATAAATTAAAGAGCTGCACCGATTGTAAGGCTGTTAACACAAGGAGGCACTTACTAGCTTGACGCTCTTTACCCCTCCCAAATATAATTTCAATGCACGAAAAGATGTGTCTTGCACGCATGAAATATCTTCAGCTTTATCCAGACCACCAGCTTAAAATAACTCCATGCGAGGCAATTTTTACTGTACAGTTCAATTGTGCAAGTGATGTCATATGATGAGACAGACATTTACATTCTGAAACTTTTCCCAGCCAGCAGTCACTTCAGTAGGTGTCAGTATCCACAGGAGGAACACCCCTCGTGCAATAACTTACTACAATTTTAACTGTAAACTAATATACCTAATAGGCTTCTTAAGATACTTGGGTCCTGTGAGTGACACATTAAATTATGCATCTTTATTTCACCTATTATTTATTGTGCCAGTTTCCAGAAGAGGCAGCAGCATTCAAGCAATTCGTGAGCCATCTGCAATAACTATGTTTTTATTTACCAGGTAAGGCCCACTGAGTTATACAGGTATTTTTCAGAAGCGACCTGGCCACAAATGATAGCGCAACGAAGTGGCTAACAACATGAAAATGCATAGCAGCCAAATACTCTAAAGGCACGTTTCTAAATGTGGAGGGGAAAAACCGGAGCACCCGAAGAAAAAAACACGGGGAGAGAGAGCAGGCAAACTCCAAATATACAGGCATCGTCATGGTGGGAATCGAACCACGACCTCCTGCATACTAGGCGAGGGAGTTAACATTTAACATCTCACGAGTCCAAAGCCTTCGACACTCCATGGGTCACTCACCGGCATCTTCAAAGTGGGGGGCGCTGGGGGGGATGGGCATGGGCCCCGGGTAGGGTGGGGGTGGAGGGTAGTAGACCCCTGCGAGCGTGCACACACACACACATCGTCCTCCATCAGCATTTGACTGCCCATCCTAATTGTGCAATTTTCCTTACTACACATACCGGCGATGATCGGTTTAAGTCGTATCAGTTTACGTCTTACATTTTTAACGTCGTTGGAAAATAAGGGGACATTATTATCAGTTCAAGTCATCCATCAGTTTCATGTCATCAACGAAATTGTTTCTTATCACTTGTGCGTTGCTCGATCGCTCACCACCTAGTGGTGTTTTTGTGCTGCATGCGCTCTGCTCTTGCGTGGCAGAGGGACTACTTTGAGCAGCGTAGTGGTACTATGCTGCGTCATTGGCTGTCATTCGCCCCCCAATGTATGTCTCCACTACTCGCCTCTTCACCACCTCGCCCCATGTAAATGTGAGGAAATAGACCCTATTTCAATATGTATGTCTCTATGTAACTATAAGTACCTAATTATGCATCTTACTAGCTGTACTACCCGGCTTCACCCGGGACTTGGATCCACCACGCCCGGCCGCATTTGTCTCCCCAGTGGCGATGTTCACACACCACACCAGTTACTCGTTTGAGGCCGAGTCGACCTAGGGGAGGCCCAAGAACGGTTGAAATAATCGTTACCGGTGGTGGCCGTGAGCGGGAATCGAATTCGTGTCGCCGGGTTCGTAGCGCGGCGCGCTAACCACTACACTACAATGCGTTACGCTTCCACGTTGCGCGGGTCACGTGACAGATGTGACGTCACAGCTCACTTGCCGTGCAAAAAATATCTGCATTATTGAGCTCCCCCCCCCCCCTCCCAAAAAAAGTGTATTTTCATAATTTTTGCATGGTGTACAGTCTGGAAAGTACCCACATGGCAAATTTCCAGTTTGTTGCATGTCGGGAAGTACGCTAAACATTTTGAACAGACACACATTCACAACTTTGTCTTTTATATATATGGAGATTATATTGTTTTATGTTATTTATCTTTTTTTGCGTGTTATTCTTCCTCATTAAACTGTATAATTTGTCATTTATTAAGACTTTACGGAGTAATGGAGCGCTGGAATGTATCTCCTGTATATTAGTTAACTCTTATGAGAAATAGCTGATCAGTTAACATCGTATCAGTTTAAGTCGTGTTTTCCAGGAACGTAACCCCGACTTAAACTGATCATTCCCAGTATTGATTTATCCTGAATAAATGGTTTATAAAAACACACGCAAGGTGTATGGGAAGTGACTTTATTTTTATTTAGACTAAGTTTATTGAAAGCATAGGTTCACCATCATTAGCCAATTCTCTGCTGGATAAAGGCCTCCTCAAATCGCTGCCACCTTCCACAATCCTGCGATGTGATAATCTGCCCAACTCCTGCGCACGAGCTGGATTATTTCATCGCTCCGTCCCCCTAGCGGATGTCCTCTCGCACACGTTCCATTCCATGCCTTCCGCTTTTTCTGCTTGACCAGGTGAATCCTTTCCCATTTCGAGACACCTGCAAGTTGCAGGGTGGGTGTCCCGTCCACCACCGAATCTCGGAGCGTGAAAGCGGCTCAGCGTTTATGTTATTTGGAGGCGTAGTAGCACCGTTGTTTTTAAAGACGTAATACCGCACAAAACTGTAGCGACACGACCGCTCTCTACGATAGCTGGCACCAAACCGTGCCAAACGCCCTCCTGCATGGCCTTGTGGGAGTCTTGGAACCGATAAAGTTAATTTCAGTTTTTATTCCGATTCTGTTTCCGATGACGTACACGTACGTCATTGGAAAGGGTTAAGGAATTGGCACAGCAAGTGACGCGTTGTTTTCACAAGGCAGTACTAACAGAGCCAGGAGTTTTGAGAGAGGGGTGATGATGTCAAGGCGAGGACCGCTCTCCCCTGGTTTTCACTGTGACCCAGAGTCGTCGGGAAGACGCTTTCAAAAGAAAATCGCCACCGGAGCACAAGCTCTGTGCCACCTTTATAACTCCTCCAGGCTTCGGAACTCACGCCTAAAGTGAATCGGGGAACATTCTGCATCCTCTCTTGTTCGTAAACAATGTTCAAAAGCTCAATGTGGCATCTGCTATTTTGCTTGGCGTTAGTCGTCTTAACCGAACGTATAGGTTTTGGCAGCCTACATTGGAACATTTGTTTGAAAGCGTTGTTTTTGTTCAACTCACTGGGTGAGCTGAAAGAAGAAAATGTGGTGCGCAAAACTCGTGCAACGTGACATTTTTATTTGTTTGACTGTGTTGGGAGATGGACATTCGGAAAGAAAAACCTCTGGTAAGATCATAACATGGCCCAAGCCATAATAATTAGTCATCTTGTAGATTTATCCTTTGAGACTGTTATAGAGATGGTTAAGCACTTTTTAATTAAGGCAGAAAAAAAGCTTTTATTTCTATAAATATGTATCGAGACTGTGTGTTCTGGTACATCTAGTACAAGTTTGAAGCTTAATTAATAGGAAAACTAGACTTTTAGAGGTGCAATTATGTGTGCCTCTATTGTGCGCTGCAGTGACATAGCAGCCGGGACATTGACACGAACCGGAGGGACATCAGTGACATAAATGAAGTGCTTTTATGATGCGATTAACCGTTTCACTTTTCATTATTTTTTTTCATTCATGTTTCTTGGCTGCATGACCGGGGCACACAGCCAAGGTAGCACACATCTATATAAAACTTTAGATATTTTATGGGATCTTCCTTTAACGACGAGTTAAGAATCTCTCCAACAGCTGTCGCGGGCCCGCCAAGGAAAGGGTGGCATCCTAGCGGCAATGTGTGTGTATTGAACTTCTTTCGCACCGTACATGGCCAACCACGCTAATCGGATGTGCGGGGCAAGGGCAACAAACTAGACACATAAAGCAGTTTTAACGAAATGAGTTATCATTCTAGATTTGAAAGTGAATAGCTCCGGAGCTATGCACTATGCTTCCTACTGTTATAAAGAGCGTTCCAGACGGCCGCAGAAGCGCGTCTGAAAGCGCGCGATGCGGCGACCGTCTTCGTTCGATGGCCAAGCCAAAAGCCGCCGCTGCGAGGATGACCAGAGTTCGCGTGATGGTTTATGCTCCTTGACGAGATCAACAAGGTATTGTGGTTCATTTGTGGAAATCTAAACTAAACGCTTTGATATATAGTTTTTAATTTTACCAGGGAAGGCCTACTGCTGAGCTGTTTAGCTCTTTTTAAATCCTTTATATTAAGTTCGCTTGCTTGCTTGCGTGCTTGCTTGCTTACGACCGTGCAAATCTTTCGGTCGTTTTTTAACCCACTTCCCGTGATCCAATCGAGCTGACATTTTGCACACAGACTCGTTGTGCGAGACAATTAATGTTCGTGAAAATTTTTTTCCAAAATTTTACACTGTTTAGGGAAAACAAATTAAATATTTAATTACCAATTTCTTAATACTGGCAGACAGTCATCTGACCCATAGGTAGCAGCCATCTTAAGCCAGAGGACGAGAGGACTCTAGCCGCCACGCATATAAAGGATTTATAGTGAAAAACTTTGTTTTTACGGGTTATACTTATTCAGAAGCGACCTGGCGACAAATGACAGCTCAGCCAAGTGGCAAATTACGTGGAAATATATAGCAGCCAAATACTCTAAACACACATAGATTCTAAATGTGGAAGGAAAAACCGGAGGACCCAGAGAAAAATCCACGTAAACACGGGGAGAGAGAGAAACGTAAACTCAAAATATACAGCAGGCGTCAGGGTCGGGATTGAACCCACGACCTCCTCTATAACCAGATGAGGTAGCCTGGCAAGAGCGGAGCTCCAGCGCAGGTTGTAAGGGCCGTGTGGCGCACTCACCCTGTGGCGGAGGCGGGTAGGGGTACCCGGTGGGCTGCGCCGGTGCGTAGGGGTATCCCGTGGGCACCTGAGGCGCATAGGCCATGTTGGGGTCGGCCGCGAATCCAAAGGCGCCGTTGCCCATGTAGGAGTAGCCGTAGGCGCCGTTCGCCGCTGGCTGGGCAGCCCCCGCTCCGCTGGAGGCTGAGAGAGCGGCGGAGTTAAGGGGTGGTGGTGGGGGGGTGGTGGTGGTGGGGGAGCGCCCTTCGCGGTTCACCATCTTCACTGCCGCCAAGCGAGCCAAAGATTCGGTTATACGACTTGCATTCATTTAAAAAAACCGATTGTCGTGCAAGCTTGTTGACGTATGCAGCAAGAACACAAGAAACAACGTCAATCAACAGAACGTTACGTATTTGGGTTGCGTCTGAGAAAAGTAAATCCTTGAGCAGCACACCTACCATCATCGGTTACAACTGTTACGTCAGCAATGGGAGGGAGGAAACAGACATTGAACATAAAACACAGTTATTGAACGGAAACAGCACCGGAATATACACACTCACCACGGTCGGTCTACTGGGCCGCGCACCGCCGCGATTAAACACTGCGCCGCATACAAATATCAATGGATGTATATATGTTGAACTTCTTTCGCACCGTACGTAGCCGACCGTGCTAATCGGAGGTACGGATAGCAGTGGAGTGTGATGAGTGCGGTTCTGGAATGTCGCACAGTCCACTGGGAGACCTTCAACATTCCTCAAGCAGTTATGGATGACGGAGTCAAACCTCCGATTAGCATGGTTGGCTACTTACGGTGTGAAAGAAGTTCAACAAACATATATATATACAGACAAACCTAAAAACACTAAACCTGTAGAATTAATGAACGAGTCTCAAGATTCATAAATAAGGGTCCTCCATTGGGATACTTGTCAATTTTTTGTTTTAAAGAAGTGACTATGTGGGAGGAAGTTGGAGAACCTAGAGAAAACCCTTTGTGTGGGAGGGGATGACATTCAAACATGTGCACAGATGGGGAAGAGTGGAGTTACCCAAGAAAGAGGGGAAGGTTTGTATGCGGCGTCGATTCTGTGCGAGCGTAACACGATTTCAGAAGCACGTCCAACCCTGACCCGCCCTACTGGACACCTGCACCTCCGATTAGTAACCCGCACCTCCGATTAGCACGGCTGGCTACGAATGTTATGAAAGAAGTTCAACGTAGATACATAGAGAAAGAGCTTCTTAGCTCATCAGATTTCTCCAGGATAAAGTTTCTGATTCTACCCAAAGCAATGTAAGCTCACCAATGTGGGACTAACGCATCGCTGCAGTCCCTTTGCATCCCACTGCACGCGGGGGGGGGGGGGACCCTCACCTTGCTTTGCCACCTGAAACATCCGCTGGCCAAACTCGATGGCTCCGCCGCTGCTGAACGTCAGCTTGAAGGACGCCGAGCCCTCCCAGCCACCTGCCACGACAAGAGGGGACAATTGTGTCCCACGTGGCCGAACCACTGGTAGTACGGACACGTCGAACCACTGGTGGATAATTCCACGTTCCTATAGCCAAGTAGCCGTGGTTGACATCCCGTAAAGGTCGTACCTCATGCTAACCACCGTGGTGGGATGAAGGTCTGAGATGACCCCTTACACAAAAGTCAACTATTAAATATTAAAACTATTACTATTTTTATTTTACCAGGTAAGGCCCACTGAACTATATATCTCTTTTTCAGAAGAGACCTGGCCATAGATGATAGCTCAATGAAGTGGGTTAAATTTAAAGCAGCCAAATACTCTAATGCATGTTGATTCTAAACGTGGAGGGATAAACCAGAGGACCCGGGGAAAAATCCACGCGACCACAGGGAGAGATATGCAAACTCCAAATAAACAGGCTTCAGTGTCGGGATTGGACCCACGAACGGATGTATACCAGGGGCGAGGCAGTTCACATCTCGCCCTTGTCACATGCCCTGTTCAGCTTCATTTCTAACAGCTTTAGTTTATAAGGAGATGGGACATCGGACTCTTGAGCGGCAGCCAGACTAAGCACAACTGTTCCCGCACCACAGGACACAGGCACAGCTCCCCCCCACGAATGTGTCGCCAGCTGACAGCGGGCGCTTCTTGTGTTGCCTCGCCAGCAACGCAACGGCTTAAACCTCTTCCTAAGATGCCCAACGATCGTTGAGGCCGCCTTTTATTTGATTTATGTCAGGCGTGTGTTCTGCGTATATCGCTCTCTCCCCGTGTCACCCTTTCCCCCCTCCCCCCGTATGGTTTGGGGCAGCAAGCCCGTTCCCCGTATTTTTATCCCCTTGCTTTTCACAAGCGGTTTCGCTTGTGTTAACGGTGTGTACGTCACAACGTGATGCATCGGCACCGGACATTGCCTCAATAAATATTTTTTAAAAATTCCTAATGAAAATAAACATTCTGTGAAAGGAAACGAGAAGGAAATGGTGGCGCCATGGCTCTCTCTCTCTCTCTTTGCCTCGGGTGATCCCCACCTCCTGCCTCGGCGTTGATGGTGCCTTTGATGAAGTTGGCTCCGAACACGGGCTGCTTGATGTCGCAGTTCTTCATCAGGTAGAAGGGCATCATAAACGACTGCATGGGGTCCTTGCCCTTCGTCACGAAGATGACCTGCGTCCAAATCACAGTGCACGGGCATCCATGAGACCGACGAACGACATTCATTTGAGACGAGCGTAGTTGACCAATTGAGACACCTGGTGTCTCTTGTTCAAAAGGGACCTGCGTTTAAATAAGTACAACGACAGGAGGCAAACATTCTGTTGAGGGTTCGTGGGGGATACGCGACCATGCTTCGCTTGGTCGCACTGACCAGTGTGAAGGTATTGTGGTTCATTTGTGGAAAGCACTTTGTGTGCAATGAGTGCGACCTTATAAAATGTTAGTTTGGCAACCGGATTGTGTGTCATATCGTGTCCAGTTTCCTTGCGATTGATGCGAGGTGCAAAACTTATTTTATTTGACTTCATGTGGAGGGACAGATATGTGAAGGAGGCATATTTGTTACCTAACTTAATCATTTCCCGTTCTGTACACGTACATCATTGGAACGGAGGCAGAAAAAAAATGTAAGCAAAATAACTTTATTGGTACCGAGGCTCCCATAAGGCTATGCAGGAGGGCGTGCCAGTGTGCACCAGCTATCGTAGAGAGCGGTCGTGACGCTACGGTTCTCTGCAGTGAGTGCAGCGCTACACCTCTCTAAATAAAAACCGCGGAACGCGCAAGATTCAGAGGTAAACGGGACACCCGTCCTGCAACTTGGAGACGTCTTGGAATGGGAAAGAATTAAAAAGGCAGAAGGCACGGTGAGTGTGAGGTGCTTGTTGAGGTGCTGGGGGTGAGGGCCTCCTGCTAAACAGTGCTCGCAGCAAGTGGAATGCTCCGCGGCTTATCGCAAACAGCTGCGCGGGCAGCCACAGACGTTTGCGGAGCCAACAACGTGTGCGCAATGAGGAAAAAAACTCTTTGAAACTTCTTTTTATTTTACCAGGTAAGGCCCACTGAGCTTTTTAGCTTTTTTTCAGAAGCGACTTGGCCACACATGATTGTTGAATGAAGCGGCTTATCACGTGGACATTTATAGCAGCCAAATACTCTAAACACACATCGATTCTAAACGTGGAGGGAAAAAATCCACGCGACCACGGAGAGAGCCATGCAAACTCCAAATATACAGGGGTCTGGGTCGAGATCGAAGCCACGACCTCCTGTATACCAGGCAAGGTAGTTAACATCTCACCACCGCAGCGATTCACCTGCTCAGTGCGAGCGGCACCTCGACAACTTTACACTGGGCAGACCTGCTCAGCTCTGGCCAAATAACAATGAAATTCTTCAGTCACGTTCAATTGGCCAACAACTTTAGAGGCACTCCAACCAGCCGCTCACCGTTGATGTATCGACCTAAAAACTTTCATCTTCTCCCTTCCCCCATCACTCCAAGCTAGAACAGCAGAGGCTAGACCAGGGGTCAGCAATCTGTGCGTCTGGAGCCGCATGCCGCTCTTTAAGGACCGCTTCGTGAAGTTATAATTGAGTTTTTTTTATCGAATAAAAAAAAGGCTCTGCTTGTTATTTTGGTCTCGTGTAAGTGCACGCAGAGGATACCACAAATTTCAACGATTTAGGGCCAGAAACTTTGAGGTTTAGAACTGTACGTGGCAAGTAAGTGTGCTGTCGATGTAATCGGGAAGAAGAGGTTCTGATGGGTGGGACACCTGTGCAAAACAGAGGAAGGACAGTCTACCCAGAGCCAGACATTGGAGTGGCATCCAGAGCACAGCGACCAAGGGGGAGAAGACCTTAAGTCAACGCAGGAGGAACTGCATAAGGGGCCTTGGGAGGTCACCGTCGACTTCACAGCAGCTGTGGGAAATGATGGTGAGGTGTGGCGGCGGTCACTTCATTGTCCATGATCATCCCATCACAGCTCTGCTTGTTGACGTATAAATTCTTTACTTATTCGAACATCCATAACAGAGGGTTTTTTTGGGGGGTTAGATCGCTTAAATATTCACAAGATACAACCCAAACTCCCCCCCTCCCCTATTACGTATAAGCCTACGTGTTATGTGAACATAATTTTTATTTTGAAAACCATGCTATTCAGACCGGCGGTGTGTGAATATTAGGTCAGCTTCAAAGTTAGAACGCCCCCATTGGCGAAGAAAAATAAGAAGTTAAGTAACTTACCCTGAAGGGAGTCAGGTAAATGATCCCCTTCTTGGACCCCTTGAAGACGTCGGGCATGACCACAAAGTCGCCGAAGGAGAGCTCCACATTTTCGTAGTGCACCAGCACACTGCAAACCAAGAGACAGCCATGGCGGTCAGTTACAGCAACGCGCGGGCGTCAGCGCAAAAATACAACTAAACTATTTTCTATTTTACTAGGTAATGCCCCCGCTGAGCGACATAGTTCTTTTTCAGAAGCGAACTGGCCATCACAAATGACGGCTCAACGAGGTGGCGGCTTACCATCGTGTGGAAATTTGCAGCGGCCAAATACTCTGAAACGCACATCGATTCTAAACGTGCAGGGAAAAACTGGAGGACCCGGAGAAAAAAATCCACGGGGAGAGAGACACGCAAACTTCAAATACACAGGCGTCAGCGTCGGGATCGAACCGACGACCTCCTGTATACCAGGCGAGGTAGTAAACATCTCGCTACAGCGGCACTCAATGTGTGCGCTCTCAGCTGACAGATGCTCTGCCTTTCTCTTTCCATGCAACAAAAACACTCATTCACACACAAGATGTGCCCAAAATTACCAAGGCAGGGGTCCTGACTGAAAAAAGTTTGCAGACTAAATAAAAATTTCTTGGATACATACATGTCATTAAACACATTCCTGCGGAGGGAGCTGGTAGGAACGTTGGGTTGCTCGGTCAATGGCCAGGGTCAACAGCGGCATGGTGTATTCCGCAAATATGCCCGACTGTGAGAGCGGGCACAATCCGGCGTGAGTAGGTTAAACCTTGCGTTTTATAAGGGCACCACGGGGTGACCAGCCCCTCCCCACCCAGCCCCACCCCTCCCACCCCCCACCCAGCCCCACCTTCCGCACCCAGTCCCTCCCCACCCTCCTCACCCAGCCCCTCCCCACCCTCCCCACCCAGCCCCTCCCCACCCTCCCCTGCCCCACCCAGCCCCTCCCTGCACGACGGACAGACACAATAATCTCCTGTGGGCTGGTGGAACCAAGAGGTTCCTACCAGTAAAATAAGCACTATCAAATGTCTGCACAGAATAACAAGATTTGCAGATAGAATGGTCACAGTAAGGAGGAGCCCTAATGAAGATTCTGACGCACGAGCGACAAGAAATCTCCAGCCATAGGAATGTGGAACGTCGATTCCCGAATCGTCAGTAATAAGACGTTCCGCATTCCTATCGCAGGTCTCTAGTGGAGATGAGCAGCAATGCCCTACGCTCGTTTGAGTGTACGGAGATGCTTTATTTTATCACTTTGACGACCCGTGCACGTGCCCGCCGCTCAACGATTCCCATTACGAAACACGGCAGTCAAAACCGCGACGGCAAAAGCTGACCGCTAATTAAATATTAAAGGGCGCAAGCTAAGCAAGCCCAAGAAGTCTGCCGTCGTTCGCACTTTACAAACTAAAACTAAACTATTTTTTATTTTACCAGGTAAGGGCCCCACTGAGCTATACGGCAATTTTTTTCAGAAGCGACCTGGCCACAAATGATAGCCCAACGAAGTGGCTAATCACGTCCAAATTTATAGCCGCCAACTACTCAAAAAGCAGGGGTGATCATGCGCGCCGCCTAAACGAGCCATGTCATCGCCATGGCAGTGCACATCACTTAGTAACTATTGCTGCGCCGAACACAGTGCTGCCCCGGCCTTACGCGCGAGCACAGCGCCAGGAATATGATGCGCAAAGGCAGCTCGCAGGCCAAATTAAAAAGCACTCTGGCAGCACGAGCACGGCAGTGTGGCAACCTGCTGTGTGGACTGGGGCTACACGTGGCACAAAATCGTGATTGCCTGCACGCTCGTGACCACACTATACCGGGGCTCTGACGATGGTCAATGCATGTATGTTGAACTTCTCTCGCACCGTACGTAGCCAACTATCCAAACGTACTAATCGGAAGTGCAGGGGAAGGAAAACAAACTAATCACAAAAAACGGTTCTAAAGAAATGAATTTTGAATCACAACACTGCTCTCTAACCCTACTACTCACATAAGGACAATGATCGGGTACGTGGTTATTATTTATGGGGGGGGGGGGGGGGGGTGGAAGATGATGAGGGAAGGGTGGTACAAAATGTACCCAAATAAAACTGAAAAATAACATAATTAATTGAGCCTGTTATTATTGTAAAGCCACTGGAGCAGCAGCCGGCACATGCTCAACTACGGAGTGATCATCATGTCAAGAGTCTTTCCACAGACCGTTTAAAAAAAATACATAAAGCACAGCTGAGTGAGAGCACAGGAATGATATTCACCTGCAAACAAGAACTCCGGTGCGAGAGAAAACACTTGAGTAACATTCCTCGGCCGGTTCACCAAGCCTCACAAGACTATGACTCACTCCGGGCTTTACGTTCTGCTAAAGGCACATGAAAAACACTTGTTCCATAAGGTGACCTCAAGTTCAACATGCATACACCCATCACTGGTACATGCTGATACTGGTAGGAACCTCCTGGTTACACCAGCCCACAGGGGATTATTGTGTCACGTCGTGCAGGGAGGGGCTGGGTGGGGAAGGTGGGGCTGGGTGGGGAGGGTGGGGAAGGGCTGGGTGGGGAAGGTGGGGAGGGGCTGGGTGGGAGGGGTGGGGCTGGGTGGGGAGGGTCTGGTCACCCCGTGGTGCCCTTATAAAACTCAACGTTTAACCTACTCAGTGCCGGCTTGTGCCCGCCCTCACAGTCGGGCATATTTGCGGAATACACCACGCCGCCGTTGACCCTGCAGGCCATTGACCGAGCAACCCGACGTTCCTACCAGCTCCCTCCGCAGGAATGTGTTTATTAAGGTTTACAACTCTATGGCTTTTGGGGCTTTTTTTTACCAATGGTAGAAATCCCTTTCTTTCGAGTCCAACCCTGTTTTGTTTATTATAACCCTCCACCACTCGACGTGAGCACAATCAAATCCGGTTTTCACACGGGCAAATATTCCGGTTGATTCTGTTTCTCAGCTAATTGGGAATGATGAAGAGCGAGCAATATATTGATAATCTTGTACACGACGTTTCGCTGGAGATCACAAGGCGTTAAAGGAAGCTCGGCTCTAGCATGAGATTCTCAAATTAATTCTCTCACCTTTCAACATGTGTCAGGTTTTGCTAAACGACCAAAATCAATCAGCATATTTGCTCACGTTGACAACTTGAATTGAACGGCTGTTGGATGGTGGAGGGTTATAGTTTAAAAACAATAACATTGTACCGAAATGATTAAACCCAAAAGGAAACTAATTATGATCGAATAAATATAAATGTGTCGTTAAACCCGCCACCACCCGACACATTTATATTTACGTAATGTAACCCAAAAAACCTGTATTATGGATGACATTGGTCGCGAAAGCATACAAGTTAAAATGTGAATATGATTTGAGCAATGTGACGATTCGTCAAGTTTTAAGCGGTAACATTATCGTTTAGTAGTTCACTGAGCACACGTGGAGCATTACATCCTGCTAGGGTCAGTGCATTTGACTCGCAATGGAAAGTGATGAGTTATATTCCTGTCAAGGTTCCACCGTCGCCCCCATCATCCCTCAGGGCTCATCCCTGTATTATGGATGACATTGGTCGCGAAAGCATACAAGTTAAAATGTGAATATGATTTGAGCAATGTGACGATTCGTCAAGTTTTAAGCGGTAACATTATCGTTTAGTAGTTCACTGAGCACACGTGGAGCATTACATCCTGCTAGGGTCAGTGCATTTGACTCGCAATGGAAAGTGATGAGTTATATTCCTGTCAAGGTTCCACTCGCCCCATCATCCCTCATGGCTCGACAAATCATTACCATTTTGTGGGAAGGTACTAACACATATTTGAAGACTTTCTCCCACCATGGGAAAATGGAATTTGCACTGTTGGCTCTTCACTTTAGAAACGATGCTGTTTATAATCTGCTACGGTAGAAAATACCAGAATCAGCCTTGTGTATTCTCAACTAGACAATGGTTAAACATGCCACTGAGTAGCTTCAATGCTTTGCAGGCAAGGTTAAAAACTAAACACTCTTTAAACTATTTTTTATTTTACCAGGTAAGGTCCACTGAGCTATACAACTTTTTTTCAGAAGCGACCTGGCCACAAATGGTAGCTCAACACAGTGGCTTATCAAGTGGACATTTACAGCAGTCAAATACTCTAAACGCATGTTTCTAAATGTGGAGGGTTAAAATCGGAGGTCCCGGAGAAAAATCCAAGCGACCACGGGGAGAGAGACATGCACAATCCAAATATACAGCAGGCGTCAGGGTTGGGATCAAACCCACGCAACTCAAGTCTACCAGGCGAGGCAGACAACATCTCGCCACCATGGCACTCAAACTCTCAAAGATGATGCAATATATATTTTAGTGTAAAGTTGTCATGCTGTTAGGGACTTGGCAAAATTCATCACAGGCCTGCCCAAAACCCGGTGATAAAATTCCAGTGCTACATGGCCAAAGCCTTTCGAGCCAAAGGTGATACTGTGAAAATAATTTCCTGCAGGTCTAACCCACATGCAAACATGAATGAAAATCAAATTATAAAATGCTATTTGAAGGTGAGCACATGCATGTCAAAACAAAAGCAAGGCCTATTCCGCCTTAGGTTTTACCGCTCTGAGCCGCATGACTGATAAAGCCCAGCGCTGACTCACTCGGCTCACGTGCAAATTAGGCAAGAGGGCAACGTCCTGTTGCTCTCCGGTCACACGGTGGGCTGCTCACACTTCCCAGTGAGGAGAGGATTGCCCGGCACGGCCCCCAATGCCCCCCACACTAATCTCAGCCAAATCCATCCAGGGAAGAGACGACAAATCCCGCAGGGCAGCAATCACATCGAAGCACATCGTCTCAGTGACTTGTTGCCACACCGACGGCAAGGGAGACATCGGCACGATCTCACTAAATAATGATAATAACATTCGACAAATGAGATACTCTCCAACAAGAGAATTTGTCCCATTCAGTATCGTGTAGGAAAGTGATAATTCCGCAGGCATTTCTTGTTGACCAACAATCATCCCTTCCGAGCAAAGTCTCCTGCCCCAGCCAATTCACTTGTCCCTTTCAGTTGGCTCCACGATGACA